TTGAATAATCAAGAAATTACACAGTTCCCAAAAACCAGCAGGATTTGCAATTTGCATTTTTCCTTGGACTGCTTCGAACAATGTGGATTATCTTTTCGTTTAAAACAAAATTCTGTACCAAGTATATTTCCACGTGCTGAAAATCAAAATCAAAGGTATGTAATAATTTGCATTGTATCTATTGTATGTTATAAAAATTAACAAAACAATGTTTACATGATATACTAAAAAACCCGTAATTATTTTTTTATATGTTTGCAGCTTGGAAATATCCATGGAAAGTTGTCCTAAGAATAATGATTTAAACGATGAAATGATGAATTTGGATAAAGATGTCAACGAATACATACTACAAACTCCGAAGAAGTTAGTTCGCTACCCTGGTGATATTGATGACAATGTTCTACAAACAATGACACCAAAGACAAGTCATCGTATAATAAAAATGTTAAAGCAAAAGTGTCAGGAAAAGGACAAGATCATCAAACGTTGCAGAACTCAACAAAGTCGTCAGAAGAAAAAAATAGAATCTTTGTCTCAGTTACTAGCAGAACTAAAAAAAGAACATTTACTTTCTGAAAATTCATGTGATATTATGCAAGTAAGTTAAAAAGTAAACTCATGTAAAATCATAATATTATTATTATTTTTAAAATGTACAAACAAATAAAAAAACATACAAACATTTTAAATAATGAGAATGTCATGATTTTACATGAGTTTCAACTTTTCTTAATGCAAAATTTTCCATTTATTCAATGAAATTTTTGCTAACATAAAAACTGAGAAAAGATATGAGTTTCTCTTAAATTAAGTTTTTCCGATTGTAGTTGTAAAATATAATTAATTGAAAGCTGAAATATTTTAGAATCGTAACTGGAAGAAATCATACCATTACAGTATCGTATTGATTATAACCGACGAAATCATGTATTTTCATTTCTGTTGTAAATTATACTTTAACATCATGTATTAAATATTTAAATCGTTTTTATCGTGAACTTAGTAATTATAACTTTTGATTATATAAGTATGGATTGCTATATTAGCCTTTTGTCGTCTTTCTTCTCGCTTATAAAATTATGTATGAATATTGTATTTTTATTGCTAATTAAATAGTGTCATTAGTATTATTATGCCTTACAAATGTCAATAATTTTATACTCAAAGATTATAACAGACAAAATTATCTTTATTAGAAAATAGTTTTATATCAACATATATATTGTATATTTTTTTTACATTAGTATATTCCAAATATAGAGTGTAATAGAAAAATAAATCTCTCAAGTTACATTTTGTATTTCCGATGTAATAGTGATATTTACACGAAATTATCCAATACATTTATATTTGTAATACCTATAGATTTTTCTACATTATTTGTTGTATTTTATTTATTAACAAAATAATTGGAAATGTGCAGGCCATTTCAGATGAGACTACGATTATTCAGGAATTGCAAAAAGGAAAGACGAATGGTGAATATTCACCGCAGCTTCGATCGTTTGCTCTTACACTTAACTTCTACAGTCCGAAAGCGTACAATTACATTCGAAAAGTTTTCCAAAATAAGTTACCTGCCCCTTCCACAATACGTGCGTGGTATAGCAATATCGACGGTTCACCTGGGTTCTCGCAACAATCATTAAATATTTTAAAGAAAAAAAGTGAAGAAGCAGGTGAAAAACAATTATTTGCCTGCTTAACGATGGACGAAATGGCTATACGTAAACAAGTGCAATGGAGTAACTCTAAAAAGCGGTTCATCGGATACGTAGATCACGGAGGTTTAATTGAGAATCCTGAGAGTCTACCCATGGCGAAGGAAGCTCTGGTATATTTACTTACCGGGATTAACGAACGCTGGAAGATACCCGTAGCCTATTTTTTGGTAGCTGGATTAACAGCAGAAGAACGTGCTGAAATTACGAAGAAAGTTCTTGAATTTGTAGCTTCATCAGGAGTGAAAGTCATCGCATTAACCTTTGACGGATTGTCATCAAATATAAGTATGTGCAAGTACTTAGATGTCGATATTTATAACAAGACTTTTTTTTTGCATCCGGTGGACATGCATAACGTATTTATATTTTTTGATAGTGCGCATATGTTTAAATTAATAAGAAATGCTATCGCTTCAAAAAAAAAATTGTACGACGAGCAGGGAAGTGTTATTAATTTTGAATACTTTGAAAAATTGATTCAACTGCAAGAGAATGGCGGCTTCCATTTAGCTAATAAACTCACTCGTAAACATATACAATGGTACAAAAATAAAATGAATGTTAAATTAGCAGTACAAACACTAAGTGAAAGTTGTGCTACAGCATTTGAACAACTCGAAAATGATGGACATCCTGATTTCGTAGGATGCGCTACAACGGCCCGATATTGTAGAATGGCCAATAACTTATTCGATTGCTTTAATTCGAGAAATTTATTTTCTTATAACTATAAGAAGCCTTTAATGCGGGATACATACTTAAAAATATTTCAATTTTTTGCGGAAGCAAACCATTATTTTAGTACCATTACTTTAAAACTTAATGAACAACCAGTTATTGAATCAAAAATAAAAACCGGTTTCCTTGGGTTTATCATAAATATGGAAAGTTTAAAATTGATGTACCAGGCATACGTAGAAACAGGCTATTTAAAATATATTTTGACCTATAAGTTATCGCAGGAT